AAATTGGGTCTGCAATGAGGACCATACATCTGCCACAATTTGCAGCAAGTTTGCGAGCTCCTCATGGCAACGGGTGAACATCATTGTTTTCAGCGAAAAGACGGTTGCTGAGTTTCCGGTAAAACTTTGACAATTGGTAAATGCAAAAGCTCGGAGTCATGAGGAAAAAACCTTATTCCTCTCTCGTCGACCCTAAAGCTGAATACGAGCATATGTTCGCATCATACCTAAAGCCATGAGTCTATGACAGTACTGTGTATAATGCATCGAAAGACATTAGCTGGTGGAAATCACAAAAAGACTCGCGAAATGTCGTAAAGATGACGATTTTTGTAAAGGCCGGACAGGAAGAATAGTTCGCATTCAGATTACCGTCCCAAAAGCTTCAATATCCCTTTCACGTAAAGCACTTTAATCACTCGGTGCAAACCTCGTTCTGCTTGCTCCTCTCGTCCATCGACACAATGTATACAGCGTCCCCAATCTGGCTTATACCGTACGAGGCTTGGGTACATCCGACAGTACAGGCTGTGCCCTCTTGGGCAACCCATCGACGACAACATGCAAACCGCTGGCTGGGCACAAAAGGAAGCGCAAGGCTCAAGAGCATCGGAAGGAGGGGCAGATGGTGTTCCCAATTGTGGTGCTAACGGGATTTGACCGCTGGTGATTATTCCTTCCTCGTTTAGTGCAGTAGAGCAAAGACACAAACGCTAGCTTTTCACCTTTTCATGGTTGGGATGGCCCAGGGTTATCCTGCAGCTGAAAGTTTGACCTCTTTTCAAATTCATTCAGTCACTCATTCGTGTGGATATCGATGAGAATGTTCGTTCGGCAAATGCACTCGATATCATTTATTTTCTCACACTAACGAGAGCGACTTCTCCCCTTCCAACATGAACAGTGAAGTCTTTCTGGAAAAGCCAATGCGATGTGGCAGCCTATGTATAGATCAGACCATAGATACATATGTGTCTCTCTTTTCGTCTTCCATAATTCTTGAGTGTATTATACACCTTCGGTCCCTCACGATATACTCATGTTCCATCCTATGTTCCCAAGATGAAAGCAAATATTACGGGAACGCCCCCATTTAATCCTCAAAAGATGAGGTATATCATGGGGCTATGTACTAATCGGTTCACAATGGAGCATATTCCATACTGCAACATCACATCACATTCATAATTGATTTTTTTGGGAATTGTTAAAACGACCACATACGCGTGTTCCTCCCAAAAACAAATTATTTTTGCACTATCCAATTATCGGTTGCAAGCGGTATTTTTGGTTTCCCCCCTCCTCCCTCAAAAAACATCGTGATACTTCCATGGACCCAGCCGTTGTCTTGCAAAAGAAGATTGACCAGCACACTCACAAGCTCATTTTGGAGTCACTCTCCACCCTCCCTGCCACGGGGGACATCAAATATATTATCAAATTGTTCTTGAAGTGTGGACATGGAAGTATCATGTTTGATTGTATTTTCAGCATATATGCGACAATATGTAACAAAAACATGTTTGGAGATGATACTTGGGCTTGTGTGACTAGAGTCGCGTCTGTGGTCGTTTTAACATTTACTTTTTTCATAAATAATATTAATACTCCTCTTTACAGAATGATTTTATACTCTCCCTAGTATGTTAATTCTAACACAACTTTTTATCACAAAAAGATCAAATTTGAAATCCCCTAGCTCCATAAAACTCTGATATAGAGACGCAAAGAGATGAGCTCTTTGTAATCCACCATACGTGGAGAGGCTAGATGCTATTGCTCACTAGAAAAGATGAAGATTCAATCTTTTGAAACGATGTCAATTATAGGATTGATAACCATCAAATTTGTACAAAAAATAAATTTTTTAATCCAAATTTATCTTCTATTTACATCTGTTAAAAGACTACACAATTGCAAAGCAAACCAATATATGATGATAATGAGTCAAATGATCTCATACGGATGAATAGTTTGCTATCATGCATACAATGTCCATCTTCAAGAACCATAGCAAACATCATATACAATATGACTTTGTTAGCTGATCCATAGTTTCCATATTGCCAACTTATTATGTCTAAGTTATCTCTCTGAAGCTATCAATAACTTAGATGGATTAGCCAAGAAAAAATGAATCAAAGAAGACAAAATCACTTTTCAATGTAATAGATGTTTGAGTCAAAATTCACAAACTTGTATTTTCCGAGAAAAAAATACACAAGCTACAAGAGCAGTAGGATGACAAAATTTATTAAGTAAAGTTTGAAAGCATGGTGAAACTACTCCAATCCATGTATAATAAAAGTGAAATTTTTTTTTGATAGTTGTTATACCTTTGATCATTTTCATTAGGGAGCGGCTAGTTATACCTTAGTTTATGTTGATTATCCATCAAGCTCAACCTGTTTATCATTACTATGACAAGTAATGTGCATTACGTGGACTTTACCGTTGATCCTTTGAGAACGAGTCACTTGTGACTTATGCAAAACCATGAATACCAGTTATCGCACTCAAACAACTTGCACTAACCCCATCCCATATTCTTACTCCACCATCTTTGACTATTGTCACGTACATTTCTCCACTGGATGAACATCTAACCTAAGTAACGAAGATGATAATATTGGCATGAAACATGACGGTTGAAAGGAGATGGCATGAGATGAAGGGGTGATAACTCTTAGGATGAGAAATAAGTAGCATAAACGGAGGGATAATTAGCTGCTCCCTTTTAATATATTTGAATTCAATTTTCTTTGATTTTTTTGCATTTGTCCATGAAGATTTCAACATATGTGCCTTTTACTAGCTTAGCAAAAGGAAAGAAGTTACATCCCTGTCATTCCTTTTACTATTTCTGAGCATGACAAATTAGTTCTTTGTTTAGAGCATGGTGAAATTGATGATTTCAATGTAAATAATATTTTGTAGTCAAATGAAGAAACGCAAAAAAATCATAAAAAAGTACATCCATGACACACATTTAAATTAAATCTATATGATTTGTGAGTAGTTGTGTTGTAAATGATTTCATATTAACATACCGTATACATATCAAGTATGACATTTTCTTGTGTTTCATTTTGAAGTAAGGAAATTAATAAATTATTCCAAATAAAATATTAACTTCCATCGATATCAAGCTTCATACTCATATACTTTTCGTTTACAAACAGTTGTCAAAGATGGTTCAGTGAGTTTCAAAAAATGTTATCACATACTGGTTATATATAGTTGGCAAGAATGTGTAATAATAATAATGATGATTACATTTTTTTAAAATCAATTTTTTGAAGATATGATTCAAGATGTACATAAATGTTTTACTAAACGCTTCTATTACATAAAAATATCAAAGATTGTCAGTCATGACAAAATGCATGTGAGTGAACAAACATATCAAGAGTTACTTGCAAGTCACATTAAAATTTATAAATACAGTATACCAACAAAACATATGATGTCTATATTGCTTGAGAGAAGAATATTATATTTTCATCCAACACATTATCATAAAAGAGACCTGAAGAAAAGTGCATAGAAAAAATCATACATACAATTTAACATATGGATTAATAACCTGCAAGTATTAAGATTGATGATACTATAAAATAATGTCTTGCAAGTATTAAGATTGATGATACTATAAAATAATGTCTTTCATGATCCTTAATGTCAATATCAAGGGTCGGTTGATTGAAAAATAGACATCCTTACTTTCAAAGACCATCAAACCATGTTTCAACAAATTTTTGTATGAAAATCAATAGCAGAGGTAAAATGATAGAATTACTAAGAGATAATATTCATTTTATTATTTCAAAAAATCTAATTGAAAATCATAAAGTTCTGGAAATTATAGTTCATGTTGCTCAAAATTCATAAATTTTATTTTTAAATATATATGATAAAGAATATTGATGCAAATTATATTAAAAAATTTCAACCATCTTGATTTCAAATCTCTTGAAGTTTAGATTTACAAACGTGATGATGTCAACATAAACATCACATATAACTCTTGATTGATATGTTTCAATAGCAGTCGAATTAACTGTTCTTTAACATTTTAATATATTTTTGGAATATAATTTTATAATAATGAATTATAAAAAACGAATAAAAAGGTTTGAAGCTTACAATGATTGCATTCATCAAGAACTTTCTTGAAAGCGAATTGATTATATGTATCCAAACCTATATTTGAATTTTTACCTGCAATCTTAGTTTATTTGTAGCATGTCATTTTGCGTATACATGAGATTATGGATACAAAATGGACAGACTTATATATATTATACCATACAATGAAACTAAATACCAATGTATTGGATTTAAAGCATTGAATAATGAAAATAATTCTTCTTTTCAAATATTAAAAATTTGACTATGTAAATATATTAGATAAATGAATCTAAATGGCTCAAATGTGTCATTTTTTCACAGTGTTCATACTATATCAAACACAAATCTCAAAAAATGGAATTGAAATATCTATATATAACATTATCAAGTTAATAATAATAACAAGCAAGCTATGTTGTCCATGAAAATATATGCAAGTCATCAAATGAAATGAATAATTACAGACTTAACCTTTAGTGTAATAACATGGGAGTAGAATTATATTTTCAAAAAGCTCATATTTATATACTAACTAGTCGTTTTTAACTCCCACTCGCACACACTGATTGGTGTAACAAAGCCATCAAGAAAGAACCTGATTCTTTGATCCATGCAAAAAGTTAAGAATATTGAGGTTATTTTTTTTATTTCTTCAACTGATTTATCTAGATGAAGAATCATTGTATATATATATATATATATATACAAGAATAAGTCCCAATCATAAACTTGATCCGATGAAGAGACGAAGACATATACCGATCTAATTAGTACCATGATACAAATGAAGCTATATCTATCAATATATACTTAATAAATACTAATTTTCATCTCCTACCATCACCAAAATCACAATCCATGTCAGCCCGGTTATATGTGAAAATGCTAATTATCCCAACTCTTATATTCAAAAGCGTTAGGAAGTTTACTAGATCCAAAGTGTTACTGACACTATATGGCATGGTGCATGAAGGAAAATTGCATTATTAATAATAAATATTTGGTTTTCTACGAACAAAATGACTGACACACGTTTAAGTGGTGTTCGGGTCTTCATTTCACACCTTTGAAACTAGAAAATTTATTGTACTTTATTCTTAGTGAGTTCCAAGGTTGATCATGCGCGAAGTTTCTTCACTGGGTTTGAGATATTCTCCAATTTTTGTGGTGGAAACCATGGCTACTTCTGAGCACGTTGTTCCTGCAGCAGTTGGAAAAAAATGGAGCCAAAATATTATAGAACAGATCACGCAATGAAAAGAGCTCCTTCACTAAAGCGCAAGTAGAGTGCACCTGAAGCTCATATTCAATTTCTTGTGAAAGGAAGAATCGGCCAGAAGTGCTATGATGCTAACGAAAGCTATACTATTGTATAGACATAAAAGAAAACGTACCACGCCAATAAGTGGAGAAGAACGATTAAGATCAAGATATGAACGTGCAGCAAGCTTCAGTTGGATTTTGTCACATCTGCAAGCAGCGTATGTGTCGAAGTGTCTCACTCTTTTGAAGGTGGCCACATCTCCTGGAGATTGATGGTTTGGAAGCCAATGCCAGAAAGAGCGGCGTTTGAGAGAATGCTCTGATCCTTGAAATTTCCGTTGCAGTCTGGCGTCGTTGTAAGTGGGCGGTTTGTTAAATGTACAAAAACACACACACACACACACAACAAATAACCGTATGCCATTTATGTTAATGAGCATGTTCAAATTCTTGAGAAATCTCTCGCTGTGGCTATTGTATGTGAGTGATACGGAAACTTACAATCATGATCAGTGAGCTCTCACTTTAGCTGTAGCAACTCGTGATTCGCCGAGCACCTCTCCATCGCACTGGATCTTTTCAGAACAAGACGTTATGATAACACGAACGAGTAAACATCGAGCTGCATAGGATCTCTTTTATCCAATTGTCTGATATTCAATTTTTCGGATCACTTACCACCTACCTTGCATCATTGTTGCATGCGCAGTCTGGAGTTTGAAAAAATCGAGGGTGTGTTACGGAGGAAAGGTTATCTTGCTGCCGTGAGAACTTTAGATGGAAAGCTACTGCAACTTTTTCAACGTGGAGCCTCGGAAACCTGGAAAAATACTATCCCATGTTCTGAGTCTGGACGATGTTTCCTCGTGTGCACAGATGTGGAGCGTCTGCCCAGAATGTTGGTGTTCCCAGAGGACTGCATGGACAGACCACTTATCGAGGATGACTTAGATGCAGGTAGGTGGGTGTTTGGACATCGTCAACACACGCTACCTATCTAAGGACAGAATGTTTCATATGTTTGGTCAACTCGTAGATGTATTCAAAAGAAATGACCATAACTACAGCAGATCAAAAAATCGTAGCTATGAGATGCCCAAAGTTACACGATGAAACAGAGGAAGTTATTCACTCTATTCCTGTGGAACTCAACTACGAGGTAAGCCTTCAAGGTCTCGACTACTCACGCAAGTCCACATACAACCAACCCCATGTCCCAAACTTGACGGAACTGCAAGTTTTGTTTGAAACAAACGTCGTGACTCCATTCACACCTAAAGCTGACAAATTATGCTCAGAGCAGAGAATAATGGATGACATGTTAAAGGAGGGATTATTTGGTCATAGTGTTTCCCATCCATGTCCCTTCGTGCGTACAATGTATAATTATTCTCCCCCCTTAATCTCCGGTGGCGTTGGGGTTTCGAGTTTGAATTTTAGGATGATTCACATCCACTTCGTTAGCGTAGACCTTGCTACTAGACATGATTTTGAGGAGCGATCAACACGCTGGACACTCATAAAGAGGTATGGGAGCAAACTTGCCCATGTACCGTAGCAAGCATTACGTGTTGCAATTATAGTGATTTTCGAGCTGCAACTGGTTTAGATAGATGACAACGGGAAGAATAATGAAGCATTGGTAACCTCACTACGTAACCTCGGACATAACTTTGTCTCTATTATTAAGGTGTGGTAAAGTTTGGTTCAGTCGCCTCATGGCAGAATCATGTCAACGCATGAAGACTACAGTCCAGGATTCGCACACGCTGAGACTTCAGTAATGACGGCCTCAAGAACCGTCGTTAGGAGTGACTAGATTTCCATGATGCAGTTCCATAAAGATATACGACTTTGAATCTACGTCTACAAGATAAGTGCATGAAATCGCCTTTCTAGAAGTTCAACTTGATGCTCTCACTATCAACGATTTTGGATTCGTAATGAGAATTCCGGCTAAGCGTCACACACTCATGGCTAACCAGATCCACCTTATGGAGAATCGGCCGTCTATTTCTTATCTTCCAAACGAAAAGAAAGCGAGAAGAAAGTGTGACTAGTGTTTTGAAGCTCGAGAAGAGGAAGGAAATGAAGTCAAACAAGTCAAACCCTATACCAAACTGAAACGATGAGAAGCAGGAACTATTTGCTCTGTTTGTGTCATAGAAGTGTATTAAGCAGTGTGCTTATCAACTGACTGGAATAATTGAGTGCATGTAGTTCAGTTCTCTGATCAGTCAGCCCATGTTTCAACGACATCGTAGGTACAATAGTAATGACGCAGTGGAGGACGCCATGGGCATGACTACTTTCTGTTCTACACGAGTCTTACCCGTTGAAGGAGGTCTTTGGGGTCCTGCCGTATCGGACTCTCAAACAGTTATCATTCCATAACAGCCATGAAGCTTCTGCTTCACTGGAACATGACAATGGAGGGAGAAGCGTGCGTCAAAGGTTTTTTAGAGTTTACCGTTATGGTGAGCTCGGTAACGTGAGAGACAGCGGAGAGAAGGAAAATCAGAGAGAGAGAGAGAGAGAGGGAGAGAGAGGGAGAGGAGTTGGGTAGGGCGGAAAGTGAGGGTGAATGGGGGTTGGGGAGAGCGGGAGCAGGGATGGGGGAAGGAGGGGAAAGACAAGAGGCAGGAGAGTGCTTTGAATGCAAGCCGGGGAAGTAGCTGGAGGAAAATGAATGAGCTGAGCAGCAGCTGCTGCAGCTGCAGCTCGGAGGTGGAGAGGGATTGAGGCCAACGGACGGACATGGCAAGAGGAGAGCATCGCGCCACCCCTGTTTCCTAATCTAGCTGTCACATTAGCACATTACTTGTTTGCACCTTCTCCTCCTACTCCTATGCTCATGAGCAGCCAGCAACTGTAGTTCCTCTCTCTCTCTTCTCTCTCTCCCGCTTTCCTTTTTAATCACCCCCTTTCTCGCGCACCCACTATCTTTCACTGTGTACATCATAAACTACAAATCCTCCAGTCTCCATCCCCACCACCCCACATCTCTCTCCTCTACTAGGAAGGACCGCACTCCCATCACTTTCCCTTACTCCGCTTGGACTCGCGTCAGACAATGAGGAGGTGAATGACTGACTGACCCCAACCTCGAGTGAGTGAGTGAGTGACTCGAGGGAGTGAGACCCAGTGAGTAAGTAGACCGGGCTTGGGGCTTGGTACCCAGAAAGAGAGCTGGGCATGGACAGTCTGCTGATCTGCAAGCTAGGCCTGATTGGATTGTGGGGTTGTCTGGTAGTTGGAGCAATTTAAGACAGGGGAATGAACCTTTGGGTCACCCGAGGAAGAAGAGGAGAGCAAAGGAAGGACGCGAGGGCAGTGGGCAGAATCAGTTCGCGCCGAAGTAGAAGCTACAGGCCTGCCTGCGTTCCTGTGCGAGTGCCTGGCTGCGTGGCTCGAGTCGAGCTGAGGGGGGAGGCGTCCTGTAGATGGGGGACTGGGACGGGACTGGACTGCGGTAGAGTGGGCGCTGCTGTGCTGGTAGAGCTGTCACTCTCGCTCGCTCCGGACTCCGGCCTGGGCCTTCTCTGAGACCTGCGACCTGCTTTCTCCTGCCTGTTTCTTCTCTGGATCGGCGCTTCGCGAGCCACAAACACCGGAGCTCATGGTCTCAGATTTGTTGTTCCTGTCTCGCTCCCTCCAGTGAAAGCTCACAGATCTGCTCCTCTGTCTCTTTCTCTCTCATTGTGCAAGTGTGACAACACATCCCCAACTTCCCCTCCCTCCCTGACCCTCCCCCTCCCCTTTCCTCCCTCCCCGTTCTGCCCTTCCTCTCGTCCCCTCGGGCCTTCCCATTCCCTTCTGTGTAGAGTGCTCCAGCAGCATCCCCGCACTCCTTCCTCTCTGACCAGGCGATCTGAGCTCTCGACTCGCGTGCAGACAGGCAGAGTGTCGCGGGGCGGAGACAGATAGAGAGAGCGAGGCAGGCGAAGAGAGGAAGAGAGCAAGCGAGAGAAGCAGGACAATGCGTCGAGTGCTCATGTTTTCGTTCCGAGTCTGTTCTGTACCTGTCTGCGATCGTTCTCGCTCTGTAACATGAGCTGCCGAAAACAAGAGCCCGTGGATTGTGTGGGAAGAGGGAGTCGCCACCCGTCGCCGTTGTGCTGCTGCTGGAGTCTCCTGTGAGTGATCACTCTGGTGCGGCCGCTTTCTCCTTCTCCTCCTCTTTCCTCTCTCTCCCTCCTCTCTTTTATTTCTCCGTCCCCGTCGTGGTCCGATTTGACTCGTCGTTACGTGCACACTTTTACTTCGCATACATCGGGCCCGTATCGCCTTCCTGTCGCTCTGGATTTGTCGATCTCACCCTCTGCGGGACTGCATTGCGTGACATCGTGCACAGCCGACCGTTCATGATCCCTCGTTGTCGGTACAAGCGAGCATCCGCTTCGGTTTCTTCTGTCCTGCAATCTTGTTCCAGCATTATTCTGGCACTGAACTCAGTAGCGCATTGAAATGCACTTGAAATGCTTCTTGGATGCCTCGTCGTCTCAGTCACTCCGGAGTCGAGCATTGTGAGTTAGTCCGTCGCCCTCTTGCAGTCCAAATCCCAGTTCACAAGTGTAGACAAAAGCGAGAAAATGCGGGCGCACTTGGGAGCTTCGAAACTGCCAGCAGCAAGAGCAGCAGCCACCGACTCTCTCGTGTAAGCGAGCGACAACGAACGAAAGCGAGCTCTTTGCGTTGCACATCGTGTCACTATGTGGCCGCCAGCATAGTAACCATACCCAGTGCTTGCTCTCATGGTGTGATGGAAACAGGAGCGGAGATACGCATCACCGCAATCATCACACGCACCATTTAAGCGCGGGCCCATCCCGTTTGTGGTTGGGATCTGATTGTTGAGGAAGGAGAGGGAGTAGAAGAGAACGGAAGAGAAACAGGCAGGCAGACAAGCAGTGTATATCAGAGTAAGGGAAACAGGAGAGAAGTGTGTGAGAGAGAGAGAGAGAAGAGAAGAGAAGAGCGAGCAATTTGGGAAGCAGAACAGTCGGTAATCAGTTACTGGGATAATCAGAGTCCGCCGAAGCAGTTATTCTTCATTTTATGTTGTTGCCGAGCGCTGAAGAAGCCTTTCATGCCATTTGTTGACTACCCGGAAACCTCTTCATAGACCGCCTCAGTACTGCGACTGCTGCTGCTGCTGCCTCCTCGACTGCACTGCCCTGCGCTCCTGCGGCATTGCAGAAGCGAACATGGAAGCCCTCAGAGCCGCATCAGCTGCTCTGGCCTCGACATCGACGAGGTCTCATCACCATCACCATCACGCTGGGGGCCAAATCGACAGCATCTCTCTGCAGTCACCGAAATCCAAACGGGTTGGCGGTCCATTGGCCCTCCTGCACCAGCACCAGCAGCACGACGTTTGCTTCTTTGGGAAATGTAGGCCGAAGCAACAGAAGTTGAAAGCCAGGTTTCAAGTGCGAGCAGTTGCTGCCAGGGAGTTAGTGAACTTGAATGGAGCGGCGTCCAAGGTCAATGGGACGAAGGTCGAAGGGGCATCCAAGCTCGCAGGAGTCAAGGTCGAGGGAGCCAAAGGTGCGGCCCTGCCGCCCATTCACCTCGAAGCCAGCCCGGCTCTGAACAAGGTTATAGCCGCGATGGCAGCCGCTATCCTCGAGATGGACAAGAGGAAAAAGGAGGAGGAGGAGAAAAATGTCGACACGTTTGGCAGAGGCAAGCTCGTCGAGAACGACTTCGTTTACCGGCAGACGTTCGTCATTCGATCCTACGAGGTCGGGTTCGACAGGACTGCGTCCATCGAGACTCTCACCAACCTCTTTCAGGTGACTGTCATTCTCCCTCATTTTGGATCGATCTGCTGTGCGCACATTCTCTGTTTACATGTCATTACTGCCCAATTATTGCTCATCATCCCACTCGGAGTGACGGAGCAAGCCCCTGCGGAACGTGCAAATGTTCGTGCTTCATTGCCGTTCACAGCCCGTCGTAACTGAGAACTTGCCTGCAGCTCTTGCTTCTTTGACGTGAAAGAGTTTAGATGGTGTAGAAAGGCTTGTTTTACGTCGAAGAACGCATTTTAGGTGTTCATTTCAGTACGTTTCAGCCTTACGTTCTCGACGGCTTTACACCAAGACCTAAGTGGAATCGTGCTATCACATTTGGTGTTTTGGTTGTCGGGCTTGTTTCCCAGCTTTTGAACTATGTTCACGAGTCCAAGCTCATTCTGAGTCCCTCAGCAGAACTGGACCTTCGGCATCACGAGCAACTAAGCCCTAGAATCTGAATTTGAGGTCGAATCCCACCCGCAGCAGTCTGCCGTGCATGCTTATCTCAGATGCGGTTACACAGAGTTGGACGGTCTAGTGAATGAGTAACAAACTCACTGATGATGCCTCTCTGCGGGAGAGAGGCTCTCAAACGGATGGTCGTTTGAATCAGCGCTAAACAAACGTGGGCACCCCAGACGACGACCACGAACCTGAATTTAAGTGGCCTTTGTGCTTTAGTCTTCTTTGTGTGCTCTCTCGTTCAGGAGCATGGGCTCGAATCCTGTGATGCTCGCTGAACTCGGGTGGAAAATTTCACTTGGCAGGAAACGGCCTTAAATCATGTCGGCATGTCGGATTTTGTGGGAGATGGAATGGGGACGACACACGCGATGATGAGGTCCAGACTTATATGGGTCGTCACACGAATGCAGATTCAAGTCGAGCGCTATCCAGTTTGGTAAGGTCCTCCTCCTCCTCCTGTTGCGATCATCTTCTCCAGTTGCGCCCAGTCACACATTCCAGAACAGGCAACTCTTGCGAGCAGTAGAATTGAAAATTTGTGGCCATCGCATTCTGTCTGGGGCAGGGGGGATGTGGTGGAGATCGACACATGGGTGGCCGGAGAAGGCAAGAACGGGATGCGCCGCGACTGGCTCGTCACCGACTACAACACCGGCGAGATACTGGCTCGTGCCACCAGGTTCGTTGACAGCTCTCACAACCTTATGAACCTCGAAACAGTGGACTCGGGCTCTACATCTCCAAGAGCTGTGCAATAAATCCTTCAATCATCGCTCCAAATAGGCCCCCCGCTCATTCTCGATGCCATTCCAGTTAAAGCATATTTCTGTTTTTGGACGTAAACATCGACGTCAAATTTGCTTACAATAGCACCTCCATGTCACCGCGCCCCCCGAGATTCGGTTCGTAGAGATTTATCCGAAATTTCCGTCCCCGCAAGCGACGAGTGACCAGATCGACGAGAGTTGTCGGAAGCAGTCGCAGGTCCACGAGGAAAGCAGAGAGCGGGAATTTACATCTCGGTAGAATGTCGAATGCCTGCACATCTGTGAAATCACAGTGAAATCACCTCCACCATCGGGACCGGGGGCGCAGGCTCGACTACATGGCTGAGCTGTCGCCGAGGCCGGATGTCTGACACGGAACCGACGGCTGTACGTGCTCGTGCCGAACGCCCGTCCGCTGCGTATAGCGATCCGGGCGCCAGGCGGTAAAAGGCATCCTCGTTCGCCTGCCCGGCCCCCGCTCCCGGCCGCGGCCTGAGCTCGAGGCCGCGCTCCTCCTCCTCCTCCTGCTCCTCCAGCGCACGTTGTACTCCGAGCCTGCGCGGCAAGCGCGGCGGACACGTTGAAGTCAAATTTAGCCGCGGTCGTTTTGAAGACAGTTGGCCAGTGGCCGTTGCCTTTGTTGTCATGGCTTGAATTGAATGTGTTCGGGTCTCGAGAGAAAGAGAGAGAGAGAGAGGAGGGAGAGGGCGACGAGGGTTGAGGATTTGTTGTGGTTCGATCGATTGAGATTGGGGATGGAGATTGGGGAGGGGAGGGGAGGGAGGAAATTGATGATGGTGATGAGGTTGCGGGGCTTGCGGCTGCAGCACATGGGTGACCATGAACCAGGACACACGACGCATGTCGAAGATGCCGGACGACGTGCGAGCGGAGATTTCGCCCTACTTTCTGGACCGGTGGGTGATGAAGGACGAGCCTTGCCGCAGAATCAAGAAGCTGAGCGACGATGCCCCGTACATCCGTTCGGACTTAGTGGTGAGTTCTCTAATTTCCCCCCCTCTCTCCCTTCGCTCTATCGAGTTCGGTGGCGGCGCCCGCGTTCCTCCTCTGACTTGTACTGAATTTGGCAGATATGAAGAGCATATGCGTGTTATTGTTTGTGAGCTGGGCGAGCGCCCTTGAGTCTGACCTCGCCTCTCTTTTTGGCAGCCTCGATTGAATGACATGGACATGAACCAACATGTAAACAACGTGAAATACATCGGCTGGGTCCTCGAGGTACATCATTCCCGATTTAAAAATTGAGGCCAGTCTGATTAACGAAGACTGGTCCGACGATTGTCATGATGCTCCTCGTTATGATTTTCCGCGGTCGTCATACATCTGGCAACACCTCTGGCACTAGAGACGAAACGATTGATTTAATTGAGAGGAATTATTAATCATGGACTGGATTCTGACAAAATGTATGAGGTGACTGAGGCTTAAATGGTTGGAGTGGACGCAGAGTGTACCGCAATCGCTGTCGGTGGCGCACGAGTTGACGAGCATGATCTTGGAGTATAAGAGGGAGTGCAGCCCTTCGGACATCGTGCAGTCGATGACGAGCCCGGATCAACAAGCGTCGCCCATAGCGGCGAGTAGTTTCCGTTCGGAAGAGGCCACTGTAAAGTGCCCACTATTGGGCAACGGCGCTCTGGATGGATCACCGGGGGCGGTGTCGTGTTCTTCGGGAGCGCTGAAGCTGGCCACGCCAGCCGCAGACTCGCATTCTGGGCCTTTGAACTACACGCACTTGCTGAGAATGCAATGTGATGGGGCTGAGATTGTGCGAGGAAGAACCGTTTGGAGATTGAAGCAACGGTATGTACAATAGCAGGTCAAAAAGATCTATTCCCCCACACATCAACCCCCATCATTACCCTCTCATCTCAGTCGTCGTCATCATCATCATCAATCGTCAATCATCATCTTCATCATCATCTATCTACAAGTTTGCACAGTGCTGCATGATAGATCGAGAGAGGAGTCGGAAAACAATTATCTATCGTGGTCGGTCCGGTCGTTCGTTGCCTTCAATCTCGCATATAAGTCGAATCTTGGAGTCCCTACTTATGAGATGAGGCGCACTTTCTGTGAAATGGGTTGCAATCAGGGTGCCGACCAGGTCCGCAGATATTGCTTTGCAAACTCAATCAATCGTCATCATCAATTAATGGGTCTGTTCTCCTCGAGAATATAGCTATCTGCGCTAGCGATTTTTCTAACATGTAAAGCTCTTGGCTGTTCCTCCCAGCAGCTCCCATGGAAATCCTGTGAAGATTTTAGCCTCCCCAGATCTTGGGTCGTAACATTCTCCGTGATCATCACTCACCATCCCCTCCTTCCCCTATCTCATCTCCGCTCCTCTCCGTCTTCACATCATGTAGTAGTCCAGGATCTCAAAGTTGGAATTTGGATTGCCAACCTTGGTTGGCGCAGTTCAACTCTCTCTCAAGTCAGTCATAGACAGACCGACAGACAACAAGTCAAGACAGACAGACATCAGACAGCTCTTCAGTATGTATGAAAATTGTGTACAGTTCAGATTGTCAAACACCAGTCCCCCACCTCTTAGAAGAAGTGACATTTTTCAGCTCTACGCCCTTGAAGTGCCAGCCAGCCAAACAGCCAGACCAAACAGACAGACAGACAGATCCTGAAAGCTAAGATTCCCGTGATGATGATCTATCCATAATCTGATAGACTGACCACAGCTTTTCAGCAGAACGCAGAAAGTAGACGTCTGCATCAAAGCTCTTTAATAAGCGTAGATCGTCTACCTTGTATCATTTTTTCCTGGTTTCATGGAACATTCTTTTTGGATTGAGTTGCCCATATGGGATTTGAAGCCAAGGATTGTACTGGGTACATCTGGCATATCTGTCACCTTGAGCGGTTATCGCCCATGCATGTTGTCAAGATGAAATTGATTCTGATTATTCAATATGTACAGTTCACATGCAAGCAAGCACTCCAGTGCACCGAGCTAGACAGATGGGATTTACTTTTCGTCAACATTGCTACACACGCCTCCCTAGACTGTCTGCTTGGTCCTCCTTTTCGAACTCATCTGCCTTTCTCTCTGTTTTGATGCCAACACGTGTTTTCATGAATGTACGAACCCCACACCAATGCCTCTTAAAGTGCTTCTGTGTTCCCACTGTTGCAAAATCGCTGGGAGGCTTCCCTGTGTACATACCCTGTCGAGAGTTGTTGAACGTAGATCAGGTTTTTGTTCCTGCAATCAAACTGGAGGCTGACAGAGAGGAACGTGCATCACATGTTACTTAGCTTTGACGAAAGCCTCGAAAGTTCCATATTCTATTAGTGAAAGAACCAAAATTACACAGGAAACTGGAGGAGTGAACTTTGCCCCCTCCAGTTGTGTAACACTCACCAACTGAGCAGGACCCTTTCTGGTCAGTTTATCAGGCCATTTGGATTCCAGCTTTGTTTATGTTCAAAGTCGAAACACCAGTGTTGTTGTCTATGTTGTGTATGTTGTCGTACATTGTACGAGTTGAGTGTGCAGTGCCCCAGGACAATCCTATCTCTTGCCGATGGAATCAACCCCAAATTCAAGAGAACGATGGCGAACGAAGATATTAACAATCGATGAGTTATGCATAACATTATAATAAGACGCAGCACGTGTAGTAACCTTCCTCGTCATTATATATGGCAAAAGAGATTAGTGCGCAAGTTCTCCAATTCCGAGGGGTTAACCTACAAACGCGAATTGATGTCCATGGGCAACCTATGCAATGCCAATCTGAGAAATCGAACATGTCATCACGTAGACAGATTGAACACTCATCTGAATCACACTCCAACTTGTGAACGTAAACTGTGAACAAAGTTGTAGGCCAACATTCTTACATGTACAGCCTGAACCTTCGAATGAGCCTATCAATCCGCTCGGCCTTGTATGTGATTTGACCACTACGTGTAGCGAAACAATTAGTAACTCTACTGCGACCAAAAACTGTATAGTCCAACAACTAATGAATTTTGAGTGTACAGTTAGAAATATTGATATGCGGACTCTGCCACATGATATAATTATGAATGGACATGTCTATTACGGTTGATATAATTATAAATGGACATGTCTATTACGGTTGATCACGTTTGGGAAGACTGCCAGGATATGGTCTTCCACACATTTCTCATTCTAGAATAAATGCAGTGCCAAAATTTCGTTCTCCCTTTCAGCGATTCTTGTGAGCGGAGTTTTAGTGCTTATCCCTAGAGGTTCAGTTCTTCTTGGAAATCGAAATGTACCTCGTTGACATAACACCTTCAGGTTTCTGAGAAGATGCTCTGCTTCAACATGTGGGAAACCCTGACGAACATTCACATCGATATACTTCGGCTACTGCTTTCATTGACAGAGTAGATTGATGGAGAATTAAGGTTTTGCCTTCTGCCGTTTGATATCTTTAGATTATCTTCAATCTTTCTCTGATTTAGTCCACACTGCATTGCAAAATCTGGTTTCACACTCTTCAGATCGACACCTTATTTCCAGCAGAGAATCAACTCACCAACAGATTGAGCTCCGAGGTAGTAATGAATCCATCGTATAATGCGAATGTAGCCTTGGGTTTGACCAGACCATGAGGTTCAAAACACGGCCACGCCTAAAAGCCACAGCGTTGTTGCCTCCGCAGGAATCCGCCAGTTTTCTGCCTTCAACATATCGACGACAGTGAATGCCACTGCTGCGGTAGAGTCAAGTCTACCTCGCTGCCACAGCAGCATCAGTTTCTGCAGACCTCCACAGTCCACAGATCAGATCCACGACAGCGAATGGAACTGCGATACCAAAAGTAAGACTCTCTCGTTGCCGCGTCACGGACATCGATCGCGAGCCTAGGTTGCTTAGCGAACTGCAGATTCGTGCATGACGGGCACCATAGCTTCTTCCTTCATGGTGTTGTCATTGAAGTTCTCAACTCTCGCTTTTGCGTCGACTGGTGAGAAAAATTGCCACGACTGTCTCGGTGCTGCGAAGCTCAATCCCTCTAAGCCCATCGTGTTCGATCTTTGATCATCTCAATCCGCACAATTGTACTTGAAACACAGAAAACTGAACTATCAATACAAGCAGAAAGAAAGAAACACTACGAAAGAATGTAAGTACATTTCAGCAGCTTTTTCAATCTTCCTTCTTCCGGAAATTTGCAGTACGAATCGAACGATCGAAAATACAGAGCTGCATGATGAAGCTGGCAGTGAGTGGAGTTCCCTGCACGATCAAGTTTGAATAAAACGGACTGCAGCTCCATGTGTAGTGACACTGAACATGGAACTTGGATGATTTTGAAGATCTTGTCGACAAGACTCTACTGCTGCAGAAATGTGGAAACGACGATATCTCTTAGTGCCTGACATTCATCGGTGCTTTCAAACAGCTCAATCCGACAGAAGTTTCGATTGCACGGAGGTAGCCAAAGCTCAAAATTCGAAGCCTCGCGCAACAAGTCTCCAATGCTGTGCGGAAATTGCAAACATCCGCGGAACGGGAGAACCCAATGCAAGGACAGTGCGAGGACAGAGCTGCAAACATGGTCACCAGATGTCGACACCGAAAGCGGTGCTGGATGTTCGAAGAGAAGGACGTGCAATCCACCGAAATGGGATCCAACAGAGATGCAGACATTCGAACCGGATTGCATACAAAATCTCACAAAAGCAGAATCTTGCAAGGTTTCGGTATCGGATTATCTTCTTGAATTGCAGGCAATTCAAGAACGGAACGAAAACAAGATTTAGCCGAAGCATTGCTCTCCAGGCAAAGGGCCTGGAATGAAGCCATAATCCAGAGCCTGGAGGCCGAACACCACCAGAATGGCCAAGAAAGCGAGGTAAGAAAGACCCTCAACCGCGCCAAGAAGGCCGAAAGGGCCGTTCGGTAGGCCAGCGCCGGTCTTCACTTTCGTGTAGATGGACCACCCAATCACGCCCAGAATTGCAAGATAACTCACGCCCTCCAATGCGCCGATGGCTCCGCCAGGGCCCGGGGGCAGGCCACAGCCCGTGGTCTTGAGCGTGTACAGCGACCAGGCCACCACGGGCACCGCCACGAGACCGCCTGCGATTGCTCCCACGCCGACAGGTCCCACGCTTTCGGTGTCCTCCGATTGCGCTTGGGCCACCACATTCAGGCCGATGCGCCTTGCGTGACTTCTTGCTGCGTTCGGGGCACGGAGGAAGAAAGAAGCGGACGAAATTGATGTTCGTGCACGAGTCGAGGATGAAGCGACCGCGGAAGTCCTCGACGATGCTATGATGCTACAACTCACGGAGCCAGATAGAGCCATGGCGCGCACGGTCTCCATTGCGGCGAGCGCTTTGTTCTGAGGCAGTTTGAGCCCTTTGCTCTCGTTTCCAGTCGTGTGGATTGCGCAGCTCTTCTCTCCCGACGGCTAATTTGAAAGCTTTACCGCTCACCTTTTCATCTGTCGAGTGAATCTTTTTCTATTCACGGGCCGAAGTTCTTGTGTCTTGTACCTCCCATTCTTAAAGATGTTCTTTATCCGGTCTGGACCTTCGAGCCTCCAAAACATGATTCCTTTCGGTCGTACCGGACAACAATGCCATGCCGGGTGGCCTCGAGATCGACCGAATCGATTGCATACCAGTTCATCATGGTTGCGATTGAGCGTGCCGATCGCACCCGATTTACACCCGGTGCGAAGATGTCCACTGACTACTTCCCTTAATTCCTCGTCACATTGTACAGGACGAATGTGGTGCAATGTAATTTCCAGACACTTACTAATTCCAGTTTCGGCCTACTTTGCCCAGAAAGGGCTAGTGAGTCTGGACGGATTTGCAGATTTGCCTTCAAGAGGTAATTTGTCGTTGGAAATTGGTGTATGAAGATCGCTCTGATCGTTTGGGATATTCGTTTGCAGACGAGGTTTCAATCTCTTTGCTGAAAATGATTTGCAGTGGAACTGCAGGAATTTTCTTTCAACTGGATAGCCCTGCACTCCCGTCCAGCACCTGCATTCCAACTATTCCCATGCTTGGCAACGTGAATGCTAACACTTCGAGTTCCAAAATGTGGCCACCGGATCACCTTTTGTGCATCACTTCATATTAAATAGAAATCTTTCCACCGGACAAGTTTTCAGTCTTAAGTGACAATCAAGCACTACCACTGCACGGAAATGCTAATCATACCATTGACCTATTGCGAAAATTCTGCGCAAAGCAAATTATGGGCATGACAAGTTCATCTACCCCTTACAAATTGCATAGAGAATGGGAAGGTACCATAAAGTCTTATTTAGGGTTGGAGTCACAACAAAATTTTTAGAGGCATGCCTGTGCCCCCAGGCATGCGTGTATTAAAATACGTAAATTTGATGTATCAGAAAATATACTTCTATGGAAATAAATCACTGTTAGAAGAAGAAACAATCAACACTAAAATGAGAGGTTCCAACCCACACTAAAGTAGAATCTCGAATCTAAAGAATCAAAGCAAGAGAGAACACGCGCTTATGTTAGCTTGCAGAATAAAAGGGCCAGGCCATTCATGGAGGGAGTACCATGTAGCAAAGCTAGATCTAGTTTAGTGGAGATTTTCCAAGCCTCAAGCAAATATAGTTACACATGGTAGACATCAGGTTCATTTGCTGAAGGTAATAAAGGTGTAAGAACTGTCTACGTTAGGCGTACCAACACAAAAACAGCATTGCACATACGGAGTTGAACCTCCCAACAGGGTCACATCACATGAGGTGACATGTAAATACTCTCATTAGTGATATGAAAATGGAGAACCATTAGTTTCTAAGAGGTAAATTTGCCCAATAATCACAACTGGTCACTGTTGTCAATAATGACGTGATGAGATTTTTCAATATTGATGGTGTTGAGCTTTAATAACTATCTAATTGCGGACAGTATCAGTTTAGAGCTTGCTGATTGACTTTGTACACATCCCATCAAATTAATTCAACAAGCTATACTTACATTTAAGAGTCCAAGTCTCTTTAACTCTTGGTTGAAATGGAAATAATACTCAAATTAGCTATATCATTTTACTGCACAAAGAACCTACTGACGCTCATAATGTGAACGCAAACACTTGTGACCCCTGCCACAAGCGTTTGAAATTATGATGAGTTGAGGAGAAAGTTAGAGTTAAATAAACAAAAAACACACTAAAGCTTATTTTCTCCAGGCCAAAATTTGCCGATGATTTTCAAAGTTGACACTCTGTAGTGGTGCAAAAAAATGTATCTCTGATGTAGTTCGAGGACCGGAAGTCAATGCAGAATTTTCCAGCGACACGCAAACGGATTGCGGTGATTGAATGTGAGCACGAAGGAAGAGTGAACAATGTGAGCACAAACATGCGAAGAGTCAGTGATCGCAAGTTGATAACACCATACGCAACCTCAACAATCAGACAAAGCATGAGTAACAAGGCGTTGTTACCTTTAAACGATCAGATGAAGAGAAGCCCATCAGGTTGCAAAATTGTTCACTCAGAATCAAAATCATCTTTTAGAAAAGAATTTGCACAAGCTATGAAGAAGATGGCAAGGATTAGCGTAATTACATGCAGGCAAGTGCAGATTCAGAAGACATTTACAAGAACAAATTAGATGGCAGAGGTATAACTCATGCAATTTGCTAATATTCACCAAATAATATATAATAAATATTCTATTAGCTTAGCCTGATTGGGGGTCTCACAACTCTATAGCTTTGAGCTCAATTCGCTTTGAGATGTTTCAGAATCTCACATGAAGAATAAGAAATGAGAAATAAAAAGAAGCTTACAAAGAGTTTTTGGTCAAACTCAAAGCAAGCTTATGATTAATTTCCAAACCCAAATGTGATTACAGTCTTCTCAGTCCTCAAATGCGTATCAAGAATTTTGAATGATGTTCGGAAAAACTAGACGAAGTCCAAGAGAGAATTCAACGAGAATCAATAGAATGAATTTATAATGATTGGACAACAAAATGTCGAACATACAAAAGAATATAAGAATGTGATACATTTCCACTCAACGCAAAGACATAGATTTTTTTTCATTCAATTGCACATTTACAATTTAGAGAATTTAGAAAAACACAAACATATCGTCTAACTTGAGTTTGATGAAATTCAATTAAAAAACTATCAAATCCAGTTAATAAACTTTTCAATCTGATTGTTGGTTGTTTCAACAGTCTAAATTTCTCAATTTTATGCTGATTGATCAACGGACAACGAGCTCTTTGGAGATTGCAAAGCAGCTTACTCTGTAGTTTTGTCGATAAAGATGATTTGATAGAAAAAAGTTTGATAAAATCAGTGATCGTTCGATTCGCCTGCTCGACGGTCACCAAAGGCGTAATCTCATCAAAATCATTATTGTTTGAATTACTATCATTGTGCAAGAAGTGATGTTGTTCCAAAACTGATCTGATAATGCTAACATTGTCAACATAATTGTAATCAGTAACATCAACCACATTTATTTCAATAAGATATTTGGTAACTTCTTCTATACTTGAGTCATCAAGATACAATGACGTTGAAAAAGAATCATTGAGTTGAATCTCTTGAAAAGTTTGCATCAAGTTATCCAAGGCTTGATTTGAACGTGTAGTGGATCTATTGATATCTTGGTTCAAAATTACCATAGATACAAGAGTTAAACAACCGGCTTTAACAAAATACCGTCAGATAATTTTTTTCAAAATTATCAGATGCAGATCTGACCCAACCAAGTACATTGCGTAGATATGTATGATCGTTGAACGAAAACTGAGAATAAGATGCTCGTTCACTCGCCTGCCAAATCTCATACTTAGACATTATATGGTTTAGTTGAGCACGACGAAAATGAGCTTTGAAAGATTGAATAATACCTTGATCAATAAATTGAAATTCGTTGATAGCATTTGGAGAAAAAAAAATGATACACAAGTTCTCAAATAAAAAAAAAGATTCTGTTGATACTAATAGATCTAGAATATCATACGCACAAACATGAGAGAAACAGTTGTTTTGAAGTACGTAGAAGATGCAATTGCTATACTTGATAATTTTGTTGAATTTGTGTAGCAGTTGCATGTAAGAAGATCTATTCTGTCAACCTTTAGGTTGATGATCATAAATAATTCCGAACTCCTTACTTATGTCCAAAATATATTTCAAAGTTTGTGATAACAAGCGATCAAGCGATCTTCGTGATAAACTGCGTGCTAAACTTTTAACCTGAAGCACTAACTTCAAGAGTCACTGTAATTTATTCTTTACTTCTCTTCACTCCACGATTATCCGAATTGACTGTGCAATACGATCTCGTGTGATGCTGTAAAGTCGACTCCTCAAGGTTAATGATGCATTCGAGTGGTACATCGCATAACATTTGATAAATTTAGATAGTTAATTGTACTTGGAAAATATATCAGTTCCTAGAGTAGTTTAGTACCACGGAGCTGCAACAACAAGCATAAATTCCCATTTATTACTTGACTTAGCACACTGTCTACAACTCTGGAAAATACATATAAATTTGTTAGTGTATTAGAATATGTCCCTTATGGAATATGTGAATGAGTCATGTACCAGCCCCCTGGGCATGCCTTTTGAGTTGTGACTCCAACATTAGTCTTATTATTACACGGATGAAATCCACCAACCCGATTTGTTTTTATGACCAGCTTCCCTTCTTCATCTATTGTTATGTGACTTTACCGTACGATTGCAACATGCAATACGGGAAGAATCAGTCTAATTTCGCCATTTGGGAAATAGCGTAGAACTAAAATGGCAAAAAAAATCATTCATTGGTCACAATCGATTATTGATTGTTTTATGTCATACCTTGACATATACAGGTGACTGACACTCAGCAGTCAAAAACGAGTGGGTCGATATGAACTTTGGAACTAAATTTGTGCGAGAGTAGACCGTAGGTATGCACATACTAATGGCATACTCAAATGCAGCGCATGGCTTCAAGTCATGCTTATTAAATTATGAGATTTGTTAACAAAATCCAGAATTAACCAAAATTATATTTTGTGTCATCTTGAATTAAAAATATCATATCATAAATAAAATTGGGTTTTCTTAATAATTTTTGAATCTCAACAATTTTTGTAAGATTAATTCATGATGCCTTTGTCACAAGTAGGATTAGGCCATTTTTTTCTTAAGATCTCCAGGACGCACACGCGAGAAGACAACTAGGTAAATCAAGACCAAACTCGTAATGGGATCTGAGTAATAGTATGCATGAACTTTATTTATTGACAAATCCCAAACTTACCAAAATGAAGACAAATATAATCTATGATTTAAGTTAAAATTTTATATTATTCAAATTCCCATGCCTTATGAAGCCTGCTTTAAATGCCTTCTTGTTTGTATGAAAGTCCAACATTTCCTTCACAGAAGCGGTACCTTCTCAAGTGGTGTGGTGATGTGCTCTTTTGAGGAGTTCAGGATGTATTTGAATTTGATCGTCTAGACCTTATGCACACGGGCCTACTGAATGGAGTTATGTCTCGTCTACAATTTTCATTGAGAGGAATTAGAGCAAGCAGCAAAATGTAGTGAGTTCTTTCTCTGATTGCAAACCTCAATATATGCAAAGTCTTCAGTAACTCATTGTCAATGATGCATACATGGAGCTCAAAAGATGTGAAACGACCCAGCTATCACCTGAGAATTTATTGTCTTTAATTCTTACCCCACGGGTGAGATATTACATCTTATGGGCAAAAGGGAGTAGTCGGGCCATGTAGAGAAAACATTTTTTTTTAATATATAGTACACCTTAATTTGTAGGGTAAATCGAATATATCAGAGATACGATCAATGCGATAACAAATATGAGCAAGCTTGTACGTCTCACAATGCAACAATCCGCACAAATTATAGTTTCCAAAGTGCGGACTCGATGATGGCAAGCTGCAACACTATCTTAAGTCTCAGTTTGTAATTTTTTTCTCAAACTTAAACCTCCAAGGAGTTGCTCACAAGCATTACTGGCTTAGACCTCCTCATGCTGCGCATGTTCTCATCCCGAACGAACTGTCCCCGATTCCCATGTAGGAACAGTTCTGCCGTGAATGATTCTGCGTACTCCACGTTTACCAATTAAACCATAAGTGAAGATATTTAAAAGTAGAGGCTGTGACATACATATTGGTCCGAGTTACGTTGCTGAGGTATACCTTTCTCGGCCTTTTGGCTAAGATCAAGTGTAGTATCTGTTCTTATCAGTTTAATATCTGATACGAGGGTCATCGACCCTCACGATATTAATCTTATTTCTTTCAGGGTGCGGGTCCAATTCGTCAGCTTGCTGTCGAGGATCTGTCAGTGTCGCCTTGGTATTGCACTACCTCCCAGGCCGGCGCAGCCCACCCTCCCATCCGGGAGACCAATGTAAACCCAAGGAGGACATCATACATAATCGTCGTCTTGAAATATGCCTCTGAAACTTCTCTGATAGTTGTACGAGATGTAATGGTCAAGTACTTCACGCTCTAAAGTTGAATGGAAGCGTTCAAATTCGATCTTCATAATCTGTAATCTGATGAGTGCAAGAAACATCGATGTTTGACGGTCTTCGCACCAGCTCTGATGTCGGGTGGAAATACGTCTCGATACTTCGTCTCCTCCTCTGTAGATGAGTTTTACGGTGGTGAGATAGTTTTCAAGAACCATGAGGCGGCATCGGCAATTGTTTGGCGACTATGTATAACAAGGAGTTGTAGCGAAAAACCACCCGAGCAGTAGAGAAGAATAATAGTTCAGGTTGAGATGCGAGATGAATGACCTCTTTCAGAAACAGAACCATGAATTTTCACCAGAAACCTATCGAACGTCAAAACCAGCATCGGAGGATCTCAATGTCGGAGTTGATTTTGGCGTCGCTACTCCGATGCTTCTTTTAGTTCACAGACTAATCACTGGAATAGTTGGTCCAGAAGAATTTTTGGGTCCCTTGCAAGCAGTATGGAAATGATTCTCATGTCTCTCACCCGAAGATTGTAGAGAACAAAACCAACTTCAACCAGAACTATGAAGCACGTCTTGCGCGGTTAAAAGCTGATGAGCCCAGGGAAGAAAGTGTGAACCCTCAACTCATAAGCTTCCGATCCTTACTTCTTTCCTGATTGGCCCTTCTTTGACATTATCCGATCAGGAAAAACCATGTGCAAATGATAAACCGTTGTAAGGATCAGTCCAAGATCCGTGTACAGCATCCAGGTGAACACAGATTATGGCCAGGGCAAAATTGCCGTGTCACACTGCTTCCTTGTCATAACCTTTTGACGTACTGCTTTTTATTTATAAAATTGCAGGATCGTGTGAAGTTCGTTCATGTGGAACTGCTGCTCGAGTATCGGGTTCTACCGGTACAATAGCCTTGCGATGAATGAGGAAGAGCAGACCAGAAGAATGCTCTTTCGATGTGAAATTGCGTTTCAGCTGAAATGCACTGGGGAAAGTTGATTCACCTCCAATTCACGTGACAACGTCAGACCTTGTGGATATATAAACGATCCATTGGATTTGCACTCGGCAAACAAATCACAGCATACCCTTTGTGCCTTACACAGAGCATACAACCAACAAATCGATGAACACTCGGCTTATTCGGTTTCAATCGCCAGTAATCTGGTCCCTTTCCTTTTCCAATCAGGAACGCCTACTGAATCTCTTCAGTAGGCGTTCCTGATTGGGATGAAATCTTACAAGTCTATCTCTCCAGTCTTCTCATGTTCATTTTTGGCAACTTGAACACCATCTTTCCACTCTTCTGAATATCGGAGGAGGTTCTCTGATCTATTCATGACTCACGTCATCACTTGATTGATTGCTTGTGATCAGCTAAACATTGATGTTCATCAGTTGCGTTTTTCCGTATTTGGTTAGAATCCTTGGGTCCAAAAACAAAGTTCTCTTTGCAGGACCGATCAACGTCTCCAAGTGGAGCAATTAGTCTTAGCTCAGGCTACATAACTTCAGTTTTGTATTGGGAAGGACTCTCATGGAGAACTTGGTCCAAAGGCTTGACAGTAAGGAGAAGTATACAAGTTTAGGACTCCTGACATTCTTCGTAAAACAGGGCTCTTCATGAAGGCAGGGGCCCAAGTGAACTCAATTTCCTGAACATTGCTCAATAATGACGCTTATGACGCATTAATGTCTCTACAAAATCTGACCATCACTTCCTCAAGTGCACAGGGCAGAATTAGAAGTCACCTGTTGCTTGTTCATTCTATACAGGTGCTGAAAAGTCTTAGGAGACGCTTATAGAGAAACTTAAGCACAGAGGCTTTTCAAAGGGAAAGGATGTGATGTCGTCACCACTTAAACGGCTTGCCTGCCTCTCTTCGCTGTATCCATTTCTTTATTTTTCGAGATAGTTTCACGTTCCCAGATTTCAGGATCTGAAGTGAACTGCCCGGTGGAATAGAATCTTCATCACTGCTTGATGATAGTAACCAGCATCAGGAATCCAAAGCAAAGTACTTGCTTCGGAATACTGCGAATACGACCAAAAGCTCCTTGATTACAGTTAGAGCATTGAGGTTCTTCTTACAGCTTCTCTACTGCTGGAAAGTTCAATGATTCTGGTCTGGGTTATGGTAGTATTCACGTTTCTTGCGTGTACCTCAGAGGATACTGAAGATTGACAAGTGACGAGAACGCGATGGTCTGAACCTGTACAGATGATTACTGACTGGCATCACATGGATCTTTGCGTCATTGTCTTCAGCTTCATTTAGAGCTGAAGAAAATAACGCAACACATAGAAACGAACGTCAGAAAAAGAACGAAAGAAGACTTATCAACGAGGAGATCTGGATCCACTGTCTGATCAATCTTATTGGACACCGTTCTGATGGCAATAAGCCCAAGTACAGAGGTACTCTCTTCGAGATTCCAAGCTTCTGTACAAGCTTTAATAAAACTTTTAGAGGCTTCTCTAAAAGCGTTCTGCATCCATCTGAGACTGTTTATGACGAATCATATATCCATCGGTGTTGAAAACCTTTCGAGGTAAATCTCAATCGATTCTTATGAGCCCTGTTTTGATGTTGTTAAAAGCATTGGTTCCATGAACAGCTAGAGCCCACCGTGGGAATAAGTCTTGTTCAGATTGCTAAAACCAGCATGTAATTTGAAGGCACGTTCTTAGGATTCCCGTCTCGATACTGCCTCTGAACTTTCAGATTATTAAGAAGAAAACAGGGACATGTGTGAAGTAAAGTATACTCTGCGCATTCGTGTCGGCAGCGAATCTGGGCACAGCTCCTCATTGCTCAGGAGTTTATGTTGTAGTCGAGTCTGCAATAAGTTGTCATCTCGAATGGAGTGAGAAGAATTACTTGTGGAGCTTACTTCTTGTGGATGTATCTCCTTGTTTCAAATCTGTTCGTGAAACTGTAGATCAAGGTCGCCGAGAATGTGTCATTACTCATGTGAAATTGGAGGCTTGTTCGGGGGAGAATATGCTTGAGAATGAAACCCTGATACTTGCACTTCATCCGATAGATGGATTTCATTCTTCCACCTCATAATGGTTCCTTGACCTGGCCTAATATCAGACTCCTAACACCTGTCCTGTGAAAACATCCCTGCAGTCTTTAGCGCTATAAAACTCAATGACAATTTGGTATCCTCGGCGGAATGTCTAATCAAGTATGCAAAGGTCAATATGAAAGTTAAGTACATACTTTTCGGAAGTGGTGGTTTGTTATTGTGTAGTAGAAAATGTACATTTATGATTCATCTGTTTGAGGGAAATTTCCTGAATCTACTGGATTTGCAGCATCAGCAATATCTGTCTGATGAGCGAGGGCTATATTTTGCTTGGAAGACCAAATTTTCACTCGGGAAGGATCTGAGATTGAAGCATGAGTTGGACATGCTGACTGGACTCAAACTGTTTGCATACAATTAAGTAAATAGAATATATTTTTGCCTAAGCCCTGCAGAATCGTGTACTGACGACTCGCTTGAATATATTCTGACTTCTCACAGGTGTAACAGCTGTAGTATGGAAGATCTCCAGGGTAGATAATTAGTTCCTTTTCCTCAGATGCTCGAGGACGTCATTTGAGTCTGTACATCTCAACTTTCTCCTCTACCACAGTCTTCTCTGTGACTGCCAGTCTACAACAATCCGTGCTGTGCTATCAGGATGGACATGCATGACTTGTAGCTGGAAGTTTTCTTCCCTTGAAGGGTAAAACACTTGATTTCTCCGTAAGATCTCGTGGAGGTCAGCATACAGCGCTTATCTGCATTATGAGGCAACGAGCATAATATCATTTCTCTTACTATTACAGAGTACTATTTTTTAATCTTAGACACCATAATAGCGTCCCTCTTCTTAGAGAGATTCTCTCAGCAGTGATTAAATATGTGGATGGAGAACCTCATGACGTCTGGTTTTTTTAATTCCTTGCTTGATGTGTGGAAGGCTGGACTTCATGTATTAGTAGGCCAGAGCTCTTCCGAAGATATCCCCGTGGAGATAACATGTTGCTGACAGTAACAATCACGAGGTCGTGATACGAACTAGAATATACAGAGTGCAAAGTTCGAGTTAATCATTCTCGTATGAGGGCCTCCAGGTCGGATGTTGAACCGATCGTTGGCTTGACAGGTGTAACATGGCTCACTCACCATACCAGATCGACCAACTCGAGCTCGCGACGAAGCTCGTAAGTCCAACAACACCCCAGCCATTGACTGGCTGACGATGACATCGGCTCCGACTGCAGTTGCAGCCCACTACTGCCTGCACTCTGCACTCTGCACGATGCTCCTCCTCAAATCTCGTGTTGGGAATTTCGAGTGAGAGTTCGAGAGCAAGTGCTAGTGTAAGTGGGCATTGGACCCTTACACCTCAGGTCCTGCGCCTCACATTCTCCTGTCAGTGTTTGACGGGAAGGAGAGGAAGAAAGAGTCCCCACAGTCAAAGACGGTGATCATTGATCTCACCCATCGCCAAGTTCGTGATGGTCTATGGCCTCCCGCTGCTCATCAGACTGAGCTGCATCCAATGAGCTCTCTCGGCCCCCTCCCTGTCTTTGAAAAAATCTCCGCACCTCCTCTCGGTAAGCCTCGTTTCGTCTTTCCCCCTGTAACGAGACTTCCGAGGGGGGGATGGAGGGGAACGTGGGCGCGTTGGGGCAGTAGTGCAGGGGGAGCTGGCTGGGCCGAACGTTCGGCGCACGACGAACGGTGGCCCGGCGAGCTACGGCGACCGGGTCGGACCGCCTTCTATGGCACACTGCACTGACGGACTTTATTCCCCGGGGGCCGTGCAGCTCGTTCGTTGACGCCGAGTTCTGACTCGTTCGATTCGCACGGCGAGCGGTGGTGTCTTCCCCCGCGAGCCTATTCCTTCGGCGAGCGTCGAATCATGGCAGTACGTCTCTCCGTCGGAGATGTGGGGTGACGTTGAGCAGCATTATGTCATCCATAGGCAACAGCTTCTTTGCCTGGAAAGGGGAGGTGGTTGAAGGATCTTCAGCATTGCGGATTTATTCTCAATAACAGTTTTATCAAAAAATACCATGAATATAAAATGTTGATTTAACATGATTTTTTTAAATTTATGTGTTCTTTGTTTGGAAAAACAATTTATCTTACGTTAACAATTTGATGGATTTTGCATGTGATTTATGATGATGTGTCCTCATCATAATTACGCACTGAGATACAATTATTTTCCTGTTTACACATTCTTGTTGAATTGAACATAAGCTTTTACTTTTTTAATGATTTGTGTATTTTATATCCTATTTTTGAACAATATAATTAACACGCAGGAATTTCCAAATTCTTACACCTTCAATATAAAATCAACTCAGCATCAATAGTTTGGATTTGTGATACATGAAAAATAGTTTTTCAACCCAGACTAAGAACAACTGTTTAATGTCACAACAGCATGTAGTTTCAAAATTAACACTCTATTTGCATAGTTATTCACACATTATAATATAAAATTGTAAGTCGGAACCTATGGCCAGAAAAGGTATATACTATTTAAATTTTATACTTCTCAGTAATATCAACAAATTAAATTGTTTCAACACAGGTATAATCTCCTCAAGTTTCCTTCCAAAATATATAGTATTGATGTAGAAGTTGCACAAGTATCAAAAGATCAGTATTATGTACAATACGAATATCTATATTTTTCAAGATATCATAAATTCTTCAGCTTCAAAATCTTAAGCTAAGAGTATATACATACAATAAAATATGATATATGATTAAAAGCACATTAAGATTAAATTGATATAGAATGTAATAAAATTGTCCTTAGCATAATAACATGCGATAATGATACTTTCATGAAGAGTAGACGTTGAGAGAAACCTGTTAGCTTGACTATCTATATCATAACCTAGCGTTGTTGAAGTGCCGTCAATAATATCATGTCGAAAATTACACAAAGTGACACCAGTCACTCTTTATCATTTAGGTCATGACATTTCGTTGTTGTGACTACTATAGTACCAGGTCATCATACGCTACCACATTTTCATGATCATACTTTTTCGATAGTTGGTGTGCATGTGGAAGGTTTGTAATGGAACTGATGGTTACGTTGTACCAGGAAGCAATAATCATGAAAGCCAGGTAAGGGTGCACATACCTATGCAGTTTGACCCACACGATTTTCAATTGCAGAAGCCACACCCTTGTTCGATCGTATCAAACAAGCATATGGCCAGATTCTCGATCAGCCCCCGTCCGAGAGCAAGAATGTTCGAAGTGATAAAATATATTCTGCATAGTGTGAAGTTAGAAGCGACGTTGCAACGTAAGCTATCATGAGTGGGGTGGTTGCAGGTTGCAAATTTAAGATTTTTGGTCTTGCAAGGGTTTTTATTTGGTTTGTCTTCCCAACGTAAAGTGATTTTAATCGATTGGTTGAATTATTTGAATATAATAATAGAGTGTACTTTTTAATAAAGAATTTCCTTGTCTTCTCTCTGCATTATTTTTTCGCCATGATTTTATGTATATTTTTCTTCCTTTGTCCATTGTTTCCAGATTTAATTTTTAAATTGTTTTTTTCCTTCAGATCACTTGTTTGAGCTTCCCTTTGTCTCCTCCATCGATCGGTCTCTTTCGACATATAGTGTTTTCTCTTCTGTTAGTCAAGACCGAAGCTACTGGGTTCAAGTTCGCAGTTTCCTCGACATGCCTTCTGAGAGTGTGTATTGCGCTAAGGCAGCAGAGAAGAACGCTGCTTCATCTTTGCTTCCAGCTGCCACTGAGAAAGAAGGTAAAGTACTATTGATGTGCGTGAATGATCACGTGCGCCAAAAGACGAGCTCGTTACGGTGTTGGGTTCAAGGTACTCGGTCCCGATCAGACGATCTCGACCAGAGAGTGCTCATCATGAAGCGGGACGAACCGGTGAAAAGGAATAATGTCGTTAGGAAGGGAGAGGACAGGATGAGGAGAGAAAGACGGACGGATGGTGCACAGAGAATGAGTTATTCCCCTGGCGGTCATGCCAAACCATACCCCGTGGGAATAGCCGTGGAACAATTCAACGAGGAGAGGAAGAAGCGGCCACGAATCTGGGAATTTAGAGATCTAGGGTGTCTCCAAGGAAAAGGAGTGGATACAATGGGCACAGCGAGCCAATTGCTTGCAACACTCATAAACAGGGCACATATATAATCTACTAGAGTGTGGCTAAATATGCTTACAAATTACAGACAAGAGATGTTCCAAAGAAGAACGACTCGGCAGGTGTGTACAAGTGGATCTAATCTGCAATGTCTCTGTTGTCGAGACATCGGAAGAACGGTGAAGAGAGGATGAGCAACCCTTCACCCAATGGTAGCAAGCAAAGCTTATTCTGACGGACTGACTGACTGACTGACCTACCATGTACAATTAACAAAGACTGTCGAACTAGTTTGCGGTGCTACCGTTCGTTTCTAAAGCTACGGTGGGTGCTAACGCGATCCCTGACATAGTCCAGACCCACATTTGAGATAGAAGCTTAACATGATCTACTCGACTCCACTCGTGCTGTATCAGAGTCTGCCGGGCTTATTAGCAGGAAAAAACCGCAATCTAAGGCGAGACGTGAACGTGGCAGCGGGCTAAGTGAGGACCGGGCGCCTCTCTCGACTGATCCGAGAAAAGCGGCTCGAGGGGATCGAATCCGAGAATTCGAGAGAAGACGAGTAAAGAAGAGATCCGTCGTGAACGTAAGCGAGGAATCAAGGAAAGCGATCGAGATCTAATCGAGCAATTGCGTCGTGCGTTCGTTCGGTCAAGGTCTGAGGATCCAGGCCAGGCACATGGCCGCCGTCCACGAGAAGTAGCTGCCACCGGCACCGGCGCCGGTCACCGGGTCGAAGTACTCGTAGATGCCGTGCTGCTCGACCAGCTCGAGCGTGTGAAGCTCGACGGTCTCGGCCAGCGCGTCGTAGCCGTAGGCGCGGAGGCCGTCGGTGATCATCCAGTTGACGATGGCCCAGACGGGGCCCCTCCAGTACCGCAGAGGTTCGAACCGGGCGTCGGTCGGGTCGCACGACGGCACGCCGTAGCGCACCTTCTTCAGCCACCGCTCCAGGGTCGCGGCGAGCGCGGCGGCCTGCGCCGTGTCGGCCACGCGCGCGAAGAGGGGCAGGAACCCGGCCGACGTGCTGGCGTCGATCATCTGGCCCGTGAGCTGGTCCCGGCACTTGTAGATCTGCGCCGCCGGATCGTACAGCGAGTTGAAGGCCACCTGCGTCCTGGCGATCCAGGTCGCGATCTCTTGGTCCGCGTCGTCGCGCCCGATCTGCCGCGCCAACCACTGCAGGTCCAGGTTCGCGCGGTGCAGAATGCTGTTGGTGCACAGATCCGTCACGCGGAACGTCGACAGGTTGTAGAGCTTCTTGAGGTCGTAGTCCGCGTCGCGGAACAGGTAGACCAGGGTCAGGTACCGATCGTACTCCTCCTTGCGCGGGCGCATGGCCGAGTTGACATGGCCCAGGTCGCGTCGCTCATACGGCGGCAGTTTGGCGACGGGCACGCGCTCGAGCGCCTCGTCCCAGGCGGGACTGTTGTCCATGCCGCTCTCCCACGGGTGGAGGGTGGCCACCAGCCCCGTGCCCTCGGGGTCGCGCGCCTTGTAGAACCACCGGTGCCAAGCCAGCAGCTTCGGGAACAGCTCGGTGGCCGTTTTCAGCGCCAGCTCCTTGTCGTGCGCGCTCTCGAACAGTCGCCGGACCGAGATGGCCGCCACCGGCGGCTGCGTGATGCCCGTGCTGCCGCGCGGGCTCTCGACCGACCCCCAGATCTCCGGCCCCGGAAAGTATGTGGGGCTCGGCTGGTGAAACACGATGTGCGGCACCATGCCGTCGTTCCACTGCGCTGACAGCAATTTCTCGAGCTCCTCCCATGCACGCGTCTCGTCGAGGCTGGCCCAGCCGAGCGCGACGAGCGCCGAGTCCCAGTTCCATTGGTACGGGTAGAGGCCTTTGGCCGGGATGGTGTAGCCGCCCCGATCATTCTGCTTCAGAATCTCCTTCGACGCCTCGATGATGGCCGAGTATTTGCCCGATGCGTCTGCCCGAGGTCTGAGGCCGCTGTTGTTGCTGGCGGCCTCCGCTTTGAGATTGATCGACGACTGCTCTGAGGCTTTCGGGGCCCCGTCGGCTCCGTCCTTCGGGGGGAGCGAGATATTTACAGGAGTTGCAGTCGCCGATGCGAAGGCTCTGGCCTTGAGATCGTCCATGTCGCCCGTCACGTTCGTGCAGGCGAAGCTCGAGGCCAGCAGGCCCGGCATGGAGGTCGCGGAAGCCACCTTCGGCATCACCATTGCAGTGGTAGAGTTGATGGACAAGCTTGTGAGTTTGTCGACGCTCGAGAACAATTCCAACGATGGACCCGTGGTTAAAGTTCCATCAAGTGCTGCTGGCGATAGCGTGAGAGTCTGCAGTTGCATAGGCATCGACTACTCTCCGTCCTCCGCCCTTTCGAATCGCCGCCCTCGCTCTGAAACACCCAACACCAGAGCAAAGATGATCAGAATCAACGAAAGCAATACCAATCAAAGAAAACTGCTCCCACAGGAAGCTCCACTTCTTAAATTGTGCGAAGACTGGAACGCAGCGATCAGCATACTCAGAGATGCAGAGCTGCAGCAACCACTTTGATCGGTTGCTCTTAACGATAATTCAGTCGTTGCCCAACACGATAATGGCATGTCGTGTTACTTGGTTTAAAGAGAGTGATTCGTCTGGCTATCTACATTATTCATTCACACCACAATACTTGCCGTAAGCCAGCTCACTCTCCACAAAAACTGTCTGGGTCTGTGGTTGGTGAAAGTGGATCCCGAACCAGAATCAAACAACAAGATCTGGATACGAAATATCAAGAAGCCGAGAGCAATAAAACTCTCGCTCCAGCTGTAAGTGCTTCACTTCCCAATTTTGACATCGGGTGTTGTCAAAATAGAGGCTGTAAATAAGACTTTGGGCCGAACTATAGTTCAGCTGGAGGCGATGAAATGAAAAAGCTGCACAGGAGTTCAAGTGAAAATCCACCTCTGTTTCTCTGTTCCATAAAATAGGAGCTCTTGAGAGAAGGCTTCAGAGAGCGAGACGCAGAACAGAGTCTGCGCAATTGTCCTGAAATTTGCGAATCAAAGGGTGAAATCAAGATATCTCTGTCGAGCAGGCTAGACCCAGACGTCTCCCGAAGTTATGAAACCTCGGATCGTCCATGGTGTACATGGGGTAAGGGCTGCAAACATTTTCGAGAAATGTTTCTTCGCAGCGTCGTCGAGGAGACAATGAGAATCCATTTCGTGTGAAATGAGAACTTATAATTCCGAGCCTCATCGAGGCGACGCTGCGGGAGAAAAGAAACGGCTCCAACCAAGGTAACGGAAGCAAGCTGACGCCGGTAACATTTTCAAAAACCATTTTCAAAATGTCACTCGGTGCAAGAATTGCGTCGTGGACAGACCAGCTCCGGGCAATCAAAACAACGTTCTGCAGGCATGCAGACGGTCATTTGGATCGCCGAATGGTCGAAATAGAGCCGGGAGGACAATGTGGGTGGTCAAAGATCCAGAGATTGCGCGACAAGAAGAGAGCGCAAAACGCACCGAAATAGAGAGAGCGGGACTCGCAGAATCAACGTAACGAATGAACGAACGAACGAACGCAACGCACGTAACAGCCCACCCTTCCTCCTCCTTCCTTCCTTCGATTGCTCGCTTGCGCACCGGGGGCACAGTCGAGAATTGCAGATGTGACAACTTATGATCCTTCTGCAATTCCAGCGCGCAGCTTTATAGCAGCTGCGCAACAGATCTACCTGCCGCTCGCCCTCATCCCCAATCGCCAGCAGATGATTGCGCGCAAACCTACTTTTCTCCACACTCAGTCCACTTCTCCTTCGCGTCACATTCCTGCCCTCCTTGCCCAGGCACCACCATAACATTTCCATTATCCTCTCGCCAGATTCACTTGTCCTCTCGTTACGGTTCTTGCCAGCCTTCGATTCCGTCCCCGACACCTTCTCCTACCCTTGCCAAGGACTCCGGTACGAAGGCCCTACTCGTCCCGATCGCGATCTCCCAAAAGGCTCCTCTTGTCCTCGCTCTCCTACCCTTCGAGAAGACCCCGAAGTCCGTACTCCGGGGAACTTCCCTCGGTGAATCCCTCCGGATTCCGTCCCCACTACTTTCTTTCCCGTACTGTATCTTTTCCCTTCTCTTCGTCGTTCCGCAACCCGGCCTTCCTTACAAGGAAACGCGCTCCTATACGCCCGTCCTCGCAGCGACCATCAGTCCGTAGCTCGGTCGGGTCCGAGGCTTTCATTCCCTCAGCTCCACCTTCGTTCATGGTAGAGTCAATTCTCTTCGCCGATCCCCTTCCTCTTTCCTCGGGTCTTTCGGAGGTCTGCGCGTTTTCCTTCTTGGTTCTTCTAAAGAAATCATTATCGTATTTTACTTCTCGTTCTTTTCTTTCTACCATACTCTACCGCTGGAGTGAAGTTTACCTTTCACATGCTGAGGTTGACCTCCGAGTTGGAAGGGTGACGGGAGATACGAGGACAGCATTTGCGCCTGCGAATATTATGAAATTATTATCGCATTGGAATTCTGAATTGTACGTTTTGCGCCCAAAGCTAAATAAACGAGAGAGAGACGAAGAGGTCGATGAACTAGACATTTCGCGGTGACCTTGAAAAATTGACTCGGGTTGTTTACCGCTGCTTCTTTATCCCTTGCATTACCATAAATGTGCATCAAAGGCGACGGGGCTAGCCTTTTAAAGTGTGAGATTCATGACGAGATATAAGTTATAATGATACATGACATTTCCGATATCGTTTATAAAGATAAATAACTGCATTGTTCGTTTTACCTTGAAAATAGATAACAACGTTTTTCCGCTGATATGGCATTCATGTCTTACATGTGACATGGTTTTCTGTGATGAATTTTATGATGAATATGTTTTTCCTTGATAATGAATGATAATATGCTTTCGTTCCTACATAGAATTATGGCTAACATATGGTAGATTCACGATGACAATTAAGCTATCTATTGATTTGAAAGTAGAAGAAAGTATATACATCTATCAGATTCAAATCTGTTACATTTATATCCATTTGGCCCACTTCTTCTTCGCTTCAAATTTAATGACTTTGTGTTTTTATTCTACACATGGTTTAATGTTACAATAGATGGTGATGATCCTTTTAGTGGATATACTGGAGTAGTATGATATCAACCATGACAAAGAGATCTCCGTTAGCTTTGAATATGCACATTTTCTAATTCTATGAGTTCAACGTGTTGCTAGTACAATTTTATTTTATTTTCTAATGAAAATCATGTATTCCTTTCACTATTTTATTATGTTAAATATATGCTCATAGTTTGATCCATATTTATTCTTAACATTAGGCCATGAATTATTGTATCGTAAGTATTGATTTTAGTGGATTCTTATTTTTGCTTTCTGGTTTTTCTTACACAATTTTTCTTTCTTTCCTACAATCTCTAAATTATATCAATTTATTTATATCTATATATAAAAATTAGTGTAACCAACCTATTTTTTAGCAGAAATATCTTTTTTTAAACAAAATATTATTTTTATGAATATAACAGATAGATAACAATTTTTTCCAAGAGTAGTAATATTGATTTGATTTATAAAACATACAAGATTAGAAAGGATCGACACACTTTCTTTCTGGATATAGTTTTTCTTAAAATTCTTCTGTTAGTCTAACGTACCTGTTGTAATTCAATGGGCAAACTTCATGTAGAAAGTAAATTACTAGGAAGTTGTGAAAGGGATTTGTCAAGGAAAATCATAAATATATTGGCATGAGCTAAAGAACTCAATGGTATTATTAGATAGTTCTATGAAACTTGTATAACTGTCGACAAAGAGACTTCGCTTTTAAATTGTTGGCTATTGATCTACATTGATCTTTTGATAAAAGTTGTGAAGGTGCACCACAGTATACACTCACTTTTATACAATACTTAAATAAAATTTGGAAAGTGTCATGAAGCAATTTCCTGTCTTGACTCATTTAAGATGTTTAGTTAGTAATATAAAATGCTTGTATAAATTTATGTTTTAATGCAGTGTTATGTGACGCAATATTCTTGTTAATGTACCATAAAATCATGCGTCAATAGTATGCACAAATCAAGGTGGATTTTTTATGAGGCTCGTATATTTTTTTCTTCAAAATTTATTTTATCCAAACCAGCCCACAGTTTCATCACATCACTAGTTTATATAAATTCTACGAGAATAAAATTTTGTTGAAGATAGAATATTGAAGCCATAAACAAGCACGCTCTGCAGTCACAGACGAATAATGAGACAAGAACTTCAATTTTAGCTCAGTCTCTCTCTTCTGCTAAGCTTTTGGGGCACAATAAACAGAAAATCCAAATCTGAAAGTAACAAGTCGAGTGGGACAAGTTTGACAAATGCAAGATAAGTAGAATCTCAGAATGAAGCAAGCTCATTGTTTAGTAAGCTTGCTTCATTAAAAATATATACAAGAGAACAGTTTTATAAAAGAAAATCCATAGAAATATATCGAGAACTTATAAGTATTAGTAAAGGACCGAGAATCTGAGTCATACGTATGAACAGAAAGCAAAGGTTGTATCATAGCGTGTCAAGCTTTTGTGTCGTCTGCGATTCGTTCAAGTAGCATATCATATTATGCGGTTTTTCAATGAAAGTTGGGATAGAAACATTGGAACCAATTATACTGTATGAAAATAATCAGCAAACATCAGTGTCAAGTGTCAGGAAGATGATTTCACAAATGTCGGCTGTGTACGAAGACTATCTGTTTTTGTTCCGTGATACTCACAATCTACTCTTTTAAATCCAAACATTTGAAACATTGAAGTGTAGATAAATGTGTGGTAAACGAATGATCAAAACTCTATCAACCACGCTGAGAGTTTATGCTCTGGAGTGTAAACACCACATGCTTTCGATACTGAAGGCGACCATAATAAAGGTGAGCCAAGCGATATAGAGAAAGTATAAATCCATATTGATTGTTACCGTTTCCATTACAGATCGTTTGCTATTTTCTGGGATCCTCTTCTTTCTGGGATATAGTTTTGTTGAGAGACAATACAGTGTCATTGCCACTTAGCCCAACAAATCACATTGAAAGTGGACCTTCAAATTTTCGTCCCTCTTGGAATTACTCCCGGGAGTAAATAAAAAATATGGTCGGGATGAAATCAAAACGTGGACTTAATCTTGACTCTTAGAAAATACATCTAGCTATTCAGAAAATCCGCGAGCATCAATCTCACCATCCAGAAACGACAAGAAAATGATCAAACGGAGAAAGCGGATGACGAAGATACAAACAATGAAGCAGTGGACTTCTCGCCAGACTATTGTCTCCAGAGTTCTCAAAGAGGAATAAGGATGTTGTAGATTCATACACTTAAAGCATTTGGCACCAAAAGGAGCAGTTGTTCTTGATGGATTCGTCCACTACTAACTACGTAACTGAAATTCTGATGACTCGGACTTTATCCTAAACAGTGGACTTAGCATGTGACTATCCCGATGTTTCTCTTTTTCCCTCCCTCATTTGTCACAACGCGGTGAAAGAATTTGAGAAAATAGATGGTATTTAATACTAATCCATCCAGAGATTCGGACCTTCATCGTTCCTTTAACAACCGACAAGAACTTCTTATCAAAATGCAGGTGAGTATCGTTTTTACATCCTAGAAGCGTCATACTTCATGACAGTAGCTCCATCATGGTATAAACAAAAGCTTAAATTAACATCCCAAACGATAAATGAAGGTCTTTTTATTATAATGGACTGGAATTTTTCGTCAACTCTAACCAAGAGGAAAGAGATATCAGATCAAGGTCCCAAGAAGCTTAAAAGATTTTAAGCAGAAACAGTAGATGTCTTACATACATAGATCTCTCGCTTGATGCTTTTGTCAAAGAAAACAATCACATGTGGAACCGCATATTTGAGATGGTTTCTCAACGTATGACCAATCATTATACGAAGATGTGATGAACGTATGATGAACATGATATCCACCTTTTTTTGCATGAAGAAGTATGCGAGATACATGAAAACTGAAAGAGATCGAAAACAAAGTTACGTAGCAAAGACAACCAATTCCCACTGTAGTTTTATATCTCTTACTTGCAAGTCATAAGTACGGGTGGTACCGGCTTTCAAAGGCAAGCATCACATATTTAAAGCAATTTTCTTTGCAATCCAAGAGGCTATAACACATCTTAATATAGTGAACATACATTGCCAAAAGTTATGGCTACAGATGGTGCCAAATGATAGCGATGGATGTGCTCCTAGCGCCTTTTATACTTTTCGAAACATAAATATTAATCTACCGTCGAACACTCATGTTCCAAGCCCATTTTGTTCTTCTTAATTGAAATCTTAGCAACCGAGATAAGCTTCGGGGCTCTATCTAACATCCTCATCACCTGTAGCATTGCATATGATAACAAAGTTTGGCATTACGTTAGTTTTCATGACATCAACCACCTCTTTCTCCCTCTAGATGTGATTATGAAACTTAATGTAAGGATGTTTCAACACTCTTCGACTATAAATCTCGACGTGTGTTTTGGGGAGACTTACAGCATCATGTGCAATCAGAGTCTGGTTTCTAAAGGGAAAATGATTCAAAATTGCAAGCAAAGCATCAAGATCTTGAATCTAGCTACATGCTCTCACAAGTGATTATGGTAGAAGCATATTATTAAGTCATTTCTTTAACAATGTATCAATTTGAGATAATTATCAACAATATAATAATAAAATTATGAAGA